TTCTGAAGAAGAGTCCCGACCCGAAACATCAACTTTCCTGCTCCTCTGATGCTGCCTGGCCTGTTGTGTTCCTCCAGCTCCACACTGTGTTATCTAATGAGTTGAGATGATGCAAGCATTGCAGTTTCAGACTAACAAACAAGCCTTTAACCTGTGGTCCACGACTTGTGGGAAGGAGGAGGAGTTTTAAGATGGGAGGGTAGCTAGGCAAGTTGACCGGTAAATTGTAGACTTAGAGGTAGAATTCGTTCTGCCAATTTTTAATGGAATATTGTATAAAGAAAAAAAGCTGCTTATGAGGTCAGGAAATGTTGGGTTGGAATGGAGCCTGTGAAAAACATGCACAATTTATGAATTTCATACTAATAAAAACAGTAAATGATAAAGAAAAGTTGCAAACAGGAAATTAATTGAATCTTAAATACAAGTGGAACAAGAGTTGGGAGGGGAGGTGGGAAATGGCTTCAAACCTGTAAAAATTCAATTTAAGACCAATGCCAGAAAGTTCTTAATGGTACATACTGCAATTTCAGCTGAAACTAATAGAGATCAGTGCATTGGAACTATTTGCGTTGAACGGCTATAGAGCCCTTCTGGCTGAATGTTGAAGGCAGCATTGGGGGGAAAACCCAACTTCACTTTTGTCTGTTCAGTCATACAGCTGTCATAAGAAACAAAAATTATTGTTCGTTCACAGCGCGTTGGTGGTCATGCCCCTAACTCTTGATGTAGAACATCTACCCTTCACTAGGTCGAGGTCATTGCATCTTGACAAACACATTCTTTCTTTATTGCTTCCATTATAAATCTTTCTTGTTCTGTTTTTCTTCACTGTGGTTTCTTTGTACTGTTTCTGCAATAATTGTGGGAAAATGGTTCAAGTGTTTTGCTGATTTCTTTTCATCTTTCCACCAGGATAAATGGAAAGGTTTGAAGAGATATGGGCCAGGAGCAGGCAGATGGGACGAGTTTAGTTTGGGCTTATGTCCAGCATGGACTAGTTGAACTGAAGGGTCTGTTTCCTTGCTGTATGACTGTATGATTCTGTTATGATACAAATGGTTCATGCACCATTTTAATCCAAATCTTTTATTGAGTCACAGAGTCATATAGCGCGGAAACAGACCCTACGGACCAACTCGTCCATGCCACCAAGTTTCCCAAACTAACTGAGTCCCTCTTGCCTGTGCTTGATCCATATTCCTCTAAATCTTTCCTATTCATGTACGTATCTAAATGTCTTTTAAATCTTATAGGTGTACCTGTGTCTACCACTTCCTCTGGCAGTTCATTCCATTTAATTTCATTCCAGGCAGCATCAGTGGAGCAGGAAAGCTTCAGAAGGGTCCCGACCCAAAACGTCAGCTGTGTTCCTCTAGCTCTGCATTGTGTTATCTCTGACTCCAGCATTGGCAGTTCTTACTATTTCTAATTTCATTCCACGTCTTCTGTAAGTTTTCATCATTGCCTTTGAACTTGGCTTCATGACAGTTTGTTTTTATTTCTTCAACTTTAGTCCCAACTGGCAGTGGTTCAAAGATGGTATCCACTTAACAGATGCAAGCCATTACACGTTCAACAACAAAGAGCGCAGTTTGACCCTGAAAAGTGCCAGTCCTGATGATAACGGTGTTTATTGCTGCTGTGCAAGGAATGCTATGGGAAATGTTTGCAGCAATGATAATTTCACCCTAATGATCATTGGTAAGTTATGAGAGTTGAATTTTGCTGGTCTGGATAGCTGCAGGAAAGTCTATTAGAGCAGACAAAATATACTCTGTTAACACCTAACTTTTAAAATAGTCATGACCTTTTGGGTAATGTTGAAAATTATGGATCATAGCTTATAATGAACTTTTGGAAGAGTCCCAGAAAGACAATTGGATTTGCTTTTTAAAAAAAAGTTAATTCTGGATCTAATTAGGCATCTTGAGATGTAAAGATAATTGGCCATCGTATTGCTGGAAAAATAGGTTAATTATATCCAATTTGACCAACAGTTTCAGCTTGAGTTGTGAATCTCCAGAATTTAAATTTCACTATTGACTGATGCAAGTGACACTACCCTTTAGTTTCTCTCCTTTTCAACAACTGGTCAAATTTGAAAATTAATTGCCCAATGAACTCACGGCAAAACTTGTCTGTGTAAATGAGAACATAAGTACGTTTTTACAATATGATCATTGGTAATGCTGTTTGTCTCAGAATGTTCAGTCTTGTGTGTTTGTGTTTGTGTGCAGTCAGTCATTAAGATTTTAAAAAATGTCAGCTTTTCTATCCTTTTGATAGGACATGGGTGTTCTTGCTCATCCCTAATTGCCCTTCAACAGAGTAACTTGCTAAGTTATTTCAGAGTCAGCTACACAGCTGAGAGTCTGGAGTCATGTGTAGGCCAGATTGAATAAAAATGACAGGTTTTCTTCCCAACAAGACTTTAGTTAATGAGATGAGTCTTTACAAAAGTTGATAGTTTCATGGTCTCCATCATTGATACTGGCTTTCAATTCCAGGTTTATTAACTGAAATTCAAAATTCCACCACCTGCTCTTTTGGGATTTGAATTCCTGTCCCCAAAACATTAGCCTGAGCCTCTGGATTTCTAGTTCAGGGATGTTATTACTACACCACCCCTTCCCTCAATGTAGCTTAAGAGAAGAAAAAATGACCAAGAAAAACTAATCTCTCCTCCTGTCTTTATTTCTTTCTGATTTGACAGTAATTCTTCGACCTTCCTGCTCCATCTGTCCTCTTTGTATTAGTGTTTTATATTTCTGGTCATGGAAATACATGATTACCATTAACTGAGATCTGAAATTTCCTGCAGCATACTTTGTTACCTGCCTGTACTTCCAGTGATTCATGCCGAGATGCCTTGCTTAAAAATGATCCACTAATTTTCTTAATATTATCAGAGAATGTGAGAAATTTGTATTCCTCAGAGAAATTAATAAGTTAAATTTATCTCCCTCCCACCGCCAAATTGAGACGACAATTGGGCACACATGCTTGGATAAATTAACTAGGCAGAACAGTCTTTTGCATGCTTGAAATTGTGTATCCGTTTTTCTAAAATGCTACAGTGAAACAGTTATTTTCCCATTTACTCAGTGTGGTTACTGGAAAATGCATATGAAGGGTATTAAATAGTATTAGCCTGCCTCATGGATTAGTCAAATAGAACTTTATACACACTTAAAAAAAAAAAAAGTGTGGGTGTGCAAAAAAACTAAACTTTTATATTTTTAGTTGTTATAAAGGAGAGGTCAACCTCCTCTGATAACTAAATCCCAAACACCCAGAGAAGCCTGTTTCACCTCATAATCTGTTAAAGGAAGTGTGAAAAGTGGTAAAACCTGCCTCTCACCACCCCCCCTCCTGAATCTGTTGTAAAGGAGTGGTCAAATGAAAGAAAGCCCTGATGCTCACTTTATAATTAACAAGTAACAATTTATTGATCTAACTCTAATGGTAAACAAATTAACAGAACTACTGACAAGCCAAACAATTCCCCCTTAACTACTAACTATTCCTGATTAAATTTCTGATGGTATGCTGTTCCAATAAGTACGAGTCCCACTTATATAAACCAAAGTAATAAGAAAAATAAATTAAAACTTATCCTGGCTCTGCACTACCTCCATTGATCTTCAGTCAGGAACATCTTTCTCCATTGAGTTCTTGTGTCAGGAATATTAGGTAAGAGTGCTTCTATAACTTTAGTTTAGATGATGGTTTTCTGAGAGCTTAGAGAATTCTATGAGGGCCAGTGATTCTTTCTTTTATGGCTGATAACTGTTCTCTTGGCAGATGACAATTGACTCTTACACCAATTTTCAAATGCCCTCTTCTTTTATACTCTTGATGACCTATGAATTTCTTCCAATAGGATTGGTCCTAGGTTGTCAAAACCATCAGATTTAAATTTATTTGGGCTTTGGTATCTAGGACCTGGTTTAAATTAATTGGTTAAATTCAAAAACCCATTGTCTTGATAAAAATGCTGCCTTGCCTGCTAACAGTCTAGCCTTTTGTTACAATGTTTCAATTTCAGGAACTCTCTGTGCATCTGCTGCTGCCTGCAGACTTTTTCTTTAAGTCTTCAAATCTTTTAAAGGAACCACACACTTTTATTTTTCCCCCTCCCCGCCCCTATTATTTTACAAACATCAAATACTCTACCTAACTTCACAACATAATCATAGAATCCTAACAGTGCAGAAAGAGGCAGTTTGGCCCATTGTTTCATGCACTGACCGTTCCAAGTACATCCCACCCAAACTCATACCATGGCTAACCCACCTAACCTTCACATCCCTGAACACTACGTGGGGCAAATTTTACATGGCTGGTCCAATTAACCTACATACTTTTGGACTGTGTGAGGAAACAGAAGCACCCGAAGCAAAGCCATGCACACACAGGGAGAAAGTGCCAACCCCGCACAGACAGTTCCCTAAGGCTAGAAACGAACTTGGATTCCTAGCACTGAGAGGCAGCAGTGCTAACCACTGTGTCACCAAGCTGCCCCAATCTTTAACAAACCAATTAATCATATATGTTGACTATTTTCTTACATTTTAATGATCAAATGCAAAAGACATCAGGCACTGACTTTTCCTTACCATCTTTCTTAAATAGCGGCACAACATTAGTCAATCTCCAGTCTTACGGCACCTCACCTGTGGCTTGCGATGTTACAAATATCTTAGCAAGGGGCCCAGCAACCTTTAACCTTGCTTCCCACAGAGTTCTAGGGTACACCTGATCAGGACCCAGGAATTTATCCACCTTTTTGCATTTTAAGACGTTCAGCACCTCCTCCTCTGTAATATGCACATTTTTCAAGACGTTGCTATTTATTTCCCCAAGTTTTCTATCTTCCGTATCCTTCTCCAGAATAAATACGGATGCAAAATACTCATTTAGTAACTCTCCCATCTCCTGCGGTTCCACATATACGTGGCCTTGCTGATCTTTAAGGGACCCTATTCTGTCCTTAGTTACCCTTTTGTCCTTAATGTATTTCTAGAATCCCTTTGGATTCTCATTAACCCTATTTGCCAAAGGTATTTCATGTCCCCTTTTTGCCCTCCTTATTTCCGTCTTAAATATACTCCTGCCTTTATAGTCTTCTAGGGAATCACTCAATTTCAGCTGTCTATACCTGACATATGCTTCCTTCGTTTTCTTGACCAAAACCTCAATTTCTCTAGTCACCCAGCATTCCCTACTCCTACCAGCCTTGCCCTTTGCCCTAACAGGAACACACTCTCTCTGGACTCTCGTTTACCTTTACCTGCAAACATCCGCCCCAATCAACTTTTGAAGGCTCGACTAAAACTGTCAAAATTAGCCTTCCTCCAACTAAGAACTTTAACTTATAGATCTGGTCTATCCTTTTCTATCACTATTTTAAAACTAATAGAATTATGGTCTGGCTGCAAGGTGCTCCCCCACTGACCCCTCAGTCACCAGCCCTGCCTTATTTCCCAACAGTAGGTCAAGTTTTACACCTTCCGAGCAGATACATCCATATACTGAATCAGAAAATTTTCTTGTGCACGGTCTCCAACCAAGCCCTTAACACTCTGGCAGTCCCTGCCTATGTTTAGAAAATTAAAATCCCGTACCATAACCACCCTATTATTCTCACAGATAATTGAAACCACCTTACAAATTTGTAACCTGAAGTCACATCTACAGTACTTCTAACCTGAGTCTTGAATCCTTTTTCTACCTTTAAGGATCAGTACTGGGATCCATTTTGTTATATACGTAAATTATATAGATGAAAATGTGGGGAGAATGTTCATCAAATTTGCAGATGAACCAAGATTGGTACAGTGGTTAATAGTGAAGAAGATGATTGTAGGATACACGAAGATATAGATGGGTTGGCCAGATGGGCACACCAGTGGCAGATGATATTTAACCCTGATAAATGCGAGGTGATGCACTTTGGAAGAAGGATCAAGATGAGGGATTATTTAATGAATGGAAGGACACTGGGAAGCTTAGTAGAACAGCGGGATCTTGGGGTAATTATTCACAGATCCCTGAAGTTGGCAGAGTGTGTGTATAGGATAGTTAAGGCATATAGGACACTTGCTGTCATCAGTCGTGGCACAGGGTATAAGAACAAGGAGTTATACACATGGTTGATCAGGCCACAATTGGAGTACTGTGTCCAGTTCTGGTCACATCACTACAGGAAGGATGTAATAGCACTAGAGAGGTTACAGAGGACGCTCACCAGGATGTTGCCTGGGATGGAGAAATTGAGCCGTAAGGAGAGACGAGATAGGCTTGGATTATTTTCTTTAGACTAAAGAGGACTGAGGGGGGACATGATTGAAATGTATAAGATTATGACGGGTACGCACAGGGTGAATAGAGAGCAGTTGTTCCCTTTGGTTGAGGGGTCAATCAAGAGAGGGTAAAATATTTGGACGAGCACTTGAAATATCATTCAAGGGTATGGGACAAGAGCAGGAAATTGGGATTAGTGCACCTTTTGTGGTAGTTATGTTGGTGTAGACTCAGTGGGTTGCAGCCTTTTCTGCGCTATGAATCTGTGTCTTTGCTGACCTTGTGTTAAAGTGATGCTTGAAATTTGCGGTCTTTCAAATCTGCAAAACTCCATTTGATGTCACTCTGCTATTTTTGTGTACTGGAAGTGAGAGCATCACTTGGATGGATCTCATCTAATCCTATTTTACCAGATTTTGCTCATAGTTAAATCTGTTAACCCCATTTATAATTCTAGTAAGTCATTGCTGGGCTCTAGTCAAAACTGGTATTTATTTGCCAAGTTATTCCCAAAACTAAATACATGAGTGGAGTCTGATTTATTATCTGTATAACTGTGAGAGTGTTTGTATTCTGAATCTCCCATTCTTAAAGTTCTGCTTTCTATTAATTGTTTGAGTTTTTTTAAATGAAGCAGATGGGATTTTACGACAATCGAAAGTAGTTGCATGCATGACACTAGTAGAGACTAGCTTTCAATTCAGTTTGATTAATAAAATTCAAGTTCCACTCCAGAAAATTGGTCTGGTCTTCTGGATTGCTAGTCTAGGGGCATTAGTACTGTATCACCACAATCCCGTTGCTGTCTATTACCATACCCTCGACCATGAGCAAATCTGTAATGATATGTTTACCTGCATCTCAAAATCTCTGTTGACTTATGCCCTTTTATACATACTCTTATTTAGACATTGCCCACCTTTTTAATTCTTGCAACTTGTAAGGCTTTCATTTAAGGTAATATACCCACGTACTAACTCCGAAGAATGCTACCTTTTTCTCTGTGATCCATATAAATGAAACTGTAGCAAACAACCAACATCAGCCTTCCTGCTCCTCTGATGCTGCTTGGCCTGCTGTGTTCATCCAGCTCTAGACCTTGTTATCTCAAACAACCAAGTTATTTTGTTTTATGTAATGTAATCTGACTTTTATCTATGACTGTATTTTATAGATGCCAGCTTTCCACAACCTGTAATCCGACCTAAGGAACAGATTGTCAACAAAAAAGAAGATGCCGTTTTTCACTGTCAGTTTACAGCTACACCTCCCCCAATACAGGAATGGTTATTTGATGATTCCATTATCCATAATTCCTCACGGTAAAGGTTTTTGTTCCTGAGTTCTTGATATCAACGAGCAGTAATTAAAATAGTAAGGATAAAATTATCAGGACATATATTATTGATGACGGTTTGTGGTGCTAAATGCATATTCCACTAGAGAACACATTTAACATCAGTGAGCATAATGTATTTTGTCTTTTTCTTTCACTTGTTTCCTTTCTCCCTGCCCCTAAATGTAATGACATTCAATTTGCCTTCCTAATCACTTGCTGTATCTGCAGAATAACTTATTGCAGTTTGAGCACCAGGACACCCTTTGTGCCTCAGAGGTCTGTGATCTCTCTCTGTTTAAATGATGCACTGCTTTTCTGTTCCTGTCAAAGTGGACAGGTTCACATTTTCCCATATTTGCTCATCTGGATAATTTTTGCTTACTTGCTTAACCTGTTTATACACATCCCCCTGTGGACCACTGATGTCCTCTCGACAATTTACAATCTAACTTATCTTTGTATCGTCCGTAAGTTTAGCAACAGTGCATTTGGTCTCTTCAGCCAAGGCAATGATCTAGTGCAATAAGTGTGCCTTATATTTAATATTGCTTGGAGGATATGCATTTTGAAGTTTGGTGTAAAAAAGGAGTTTGTTTCAAGTTTTGTGGATTCTTCAGGAGTAGCTTCTTTAGAAGAGGTCATTTTTGGTGAGCACTTTGCCAGAAGAAAGCATGATTTTTACACAGATTGACACAAATAGCAACATTTTAGTAAATGGTGTTAGTAGTTGGGTATTTACCCATACCCTTGTATCAAGCACACCTAGGATATGACCTAATGTCTGGTACAATAACTATACAGAAACTATAGTTTCTCTGTAGGCATAGTTGACAAGGGAATAATTTGATGCGGACAAAAGTTGTAGCTTCTCCAGTCTTGGAAATGCCAAGTGAATTCGATGGGAGAGAACAGTTACACGAAAAGGTTACAGAAAGTTTTCCTTCGTGTGTAGTAACTGAAATGACAGCTGAATAAAATTTGTCATCAGAGGGCAATTTGGCACCACTGGCTGATATTTGGTTATCTGAAACGTTTGGCATTTGTATAATTCAAAGGACGTTTTAAATGTCTTTGTTTGAGGTTCTGCAAGCAGATCAAGTATTAAATAAAGTAGCCCAATTAACCAAGGTTACTTTGACAGCACCTTCCAAACCCATAACTACTGCCATTTGGAAGAACAAGGATGGCAGAAACACGGGAACACCGTCACCTCGAAGTTCCTCTCCAAGCCACTGAGCATCCTGACTTGGAAACATATCACCCTTTCTTCAGTGCCGCTGGGTCATGATCATGGAACTCCCTCCCTAATCACATTTTGAGTCTACCTCTGCCAAATGCATGGCAGTGGTTCAAGAAGGCAACTCACCACCACTTTCTCATGATCAACTAAGGCTGGGCAATAAATGCTGGCTCAGCCAGTGATGCCCTTATTCAATCAATGAATAAAAGAAAATCAACTCAAACTGAAGTTGAAGCCAGTGCTTTTGATAATAAAAACCAGTTTTTGATGAGGACTTGCCGATGGGTATTCACCAGTTGGGTACTGCCCACTTATTGCCAAGTCGTATTAAGAATAGCCCATAAAATTCCAAAGGCAGTCTGTGTTTAAATCTGGAAGATATAAGCACATTACAAGTCAATGTTTTAACTGGCCAGGTCTTCACGAGGATATGGTGCAGTTTCATAAAAGAATGCCACACGTGCACAGGTTGTAATCAAAGCCGCAACTTTAATTCAACATGTTAGTTTTAAGGAACTATTGAGTAAGGTGTTGGTCACTGTTCCCACTCACATTGCCTGACAGCAATGTCTGAAACCCAGAAGTCAGTGCTGTGAATGGCATCGACATCCCTCATGCAGACCCTTTGTGTGCGCAGCCATGCAGCTTTGAGGGAGTATTGGTGTTGGTGGATTATGTGAATTCATTACTGAAAACAAAAGCAGTACACTAATACGTCCTCACTATGATATAGTATGCATTGATTGTAATCTTCCAAGAATCCTTAGATTCTGGAAAATCCCTGGATGATTGCAAAGCTGCCAGTGTAACACCTTTCATGAAAGGGAAATGATGCCCGACAAATTTATTTCAGTTCTTTGAGGTAATGAGCAGGATAGATAAAAGGGAAACTGGAGATGAAATATATTCGAATTTTCAAAAGATGTTCAGTAAGGTAGATAGTAAGAGCTCATGGTGTTTGCTATAGTATAGTAGCATGGATAGAGGATTGATCAACAAGTAGAAGGCCAAGTTGGGATAAGGATGTTGGGATGACAACCTGTAACCAATGGAGTGTCACAGGGGTCAATGCCTTAGGCCACAATTATTTACAATAAGTAATTACAATTACATTCATGACTTGGATGAAGAAAGGGAATGTACAATCCTCAGGTTTATGGTTGACAAAAACAAGTGGGAAGTCATGCAGTGACAATGATACAGTCCTACAGAGGGATATAGAGAGGTTAGATAAGTGGACAATAACTTGACAGATGCAACATTATGTGGGAAAATGTGAGGTTATGCACTTCTTCAGAATAGAAGATCTGAGTATTATTTAAATTGAGTGACTGCAGAAAGCTGCAGCAGAGGGGTATTTTGAAGCCCTCATGGAAGGCAAATGGACAGTTGGCCTTTATTTGAAAGGGAATAGAGTATAAATTAGGCAAAGCTGACTAAAATTATACAAGACACTAGTTAGACGCCACAACTAGTATGAACAGTTTTGGTTCTCTTATTGAAGGAACAATATTCTGGAATTGGAGGCAGTCCAGACAAGATTCACTAGGTTGATCAGAATATAGAGGGTTTTGTCTTCTAAGCAGAGGTTGGGTAGGTTAGGCCTACACCCAGGCAAGATTATTGAAACTCTCAAAATTCTTACGGAGATTTGACATGGTGGGTGTTGGGAGGTTGTTTTCTCTCGTACCAAAGAACATTATCTAGTACCAAAGAGCATAATCTTAGAGTAAGGGGTCACACTGTCAGGATAGAGAAGAAGAGGGCTTTCTTTGAGGGTAGTGGGGGATCTGTGGAATAATTTCATGCAGAGGCCAGTAAAGCCTGGTTTGTTTTTTTTTCATGGCTGCAGTAGATGGACTTTTAATCAGTTAGGGTATCAAGAGTTACGGGGAATAGGTGGGCAAATGGAACTGAGGATTGTCAGATCAGCAATATCATTGAATGGCTGAGCATACTTGATGGACAGAATGGCTTACTTCTGCTCCTATGTCTTATGGTCTCATGATGGACATGGCTACTCATTTCCCAGAGGCAGTACTTTTATGCTAAGGTAGTGGTAAAGAATTTAGTGGAGTTCTTTACTAGTAATGGTTTACCAGTGGAGATCCCAAGGTTCCAATTTTATTTCTAATACTTTTCTGGAAGATGCAAATAGCCATGGTATAATACAGTTGAAGTTCTCAGCATACCACCAACAGACAAATTGAGCTTTAGAGATACCATCAAACCCTCAGAATGGCGATCAGGCCATACTGTCATTACTGTCTGTAGTATTTTCATGATTTCCAAGGACTGGAGTTTCATTTGTTCGCCATATGGACTTCACCTAGTGTATTTAGTAGATGGCCTTGAGGTAAGGGGACCTCTGAAATTAGTCAAAGATGACTTTTTAGGACTGAAGAATGAGTCATCCATGTTAAGCTACACATCTTTGTTTCTGAACTGACACACAGGATCCTGTAAAATAGCTCAGGAACAACTTGGAGCGTCGCAAGCGTACATAAAGTGGTGAGTCAGGAAGCGTGTCCAAACCAAACAACAAAATTGATATGAAGTGTTAGTTCAGTTGCCTTTATAAGCTGAACTATCGAAAGCATGGTTCAGTGATTTATAAAGGGTAGCCAAAAGAATTGGTCAAGTATTTTATCTAATTGTCAACCTTGATTGCTGGGAAAAGAAATTGTCACCAATTTGTTGTAACATTTTCAATATCTGGAACAGGAAAAGCAAATATTATGTCAGCTAATAAGGAAGGGACAATGAGAATTGGATAGAAGGAGAACAAAGCAATTCCCAAACCAAACCCCCTACAGCTGGTTAGCTAGCACTGAACTGTTAAGGAGGTTGGACAACATACTTTCATTTTAAGAAACTGAAGAAGGAAAAGACTTAACAACCTTATTTACCGATTTTGTAGACATCTATCGGGACAATGTAGGGCATGCACCTTTGGCCATTCATGATGTGGTTGCAGAGAATTATTTCCTGTGAAAACAGCATCCTTTTCACTTGGGTCCCAAGAAGCATTGCCTACTTCCCCAGCTGATTTCTTAACTAGTATATTGAAGAAAGAGAGCTCTTTCGAATATCCATTTCAAACATGTTGCCCCCTCTTGGTATTCTTGCAAATTGTCCTGATTGAGTGCAAGGTGGAAAGCTTTGAGAAAATGACTCCTTTTTTTAAGCAATGCTGGTAAGTTTTGTTTGATGATAAACTCTCTTCATGGTGTTTAGTAAGAAATCTGGTTGATAGATCTGTTTAAATCCTGATGTCAGAAAGATAGCTAATAACAGATCATCTTGGTAGCCGGAACAAGTATGTTCATGTGGTGATCTGTGGAGTGCTGAAACTAAAGTGAAGGTGCTCTCCTCCAGCTTCTGTTGTAGCAATGGATTATAAACAATATTGGCACACGCTCATCACACATCATCAACTTTAAAATGACTCATTTATGCCCACCCTATGCTTTCTATCAGCTAATCTATCCTCTGTCTGTGCTGATATATTGTCCTCTACACCATGAGCTTTTTTTCTGCATAGTAACCTTTAATGTGGCACTTCATTAAATGTCTTCTGGTTATCTAAGTACATACACCAGATCCCTTTATCAATATTGCTTATTGCTTCCTTTTAAACAAACTTCAAATTATTCAAACCCAATTTTTCTTCCATAAAACTTTTTAAGATTTTCAAAGTGCCCTGCTATAATTTCTTTAACAGATTCCAGCATTTTCCCTAAAACAGAAATTAGGCAAATCATCCTACAACTCCCAGTTCACTCCCTTTAAACTCTCTTTAAAGCAATCATAAAGCCCTTATTAAAGTTTAAAGTCTTTGTATTCGAACCATTGTTCCCGTCCTCAAACTGAGAGATTTAATCATATAGTGAACACTGCAAACTACGAATGTCTTTACTGTGAGGTAATTAATATTATTAATTTTAAGGTTTTGGGAAATCTGAGATGCAGTTACGGCACAGTTCCTAGCTTCTGACCTGCTCTTGTAGTCAAAAATGTTTGTGGCTGTAAAGTCGAGTGTTTCGTCAGTGGTAACCCTAGGATGTTGATCGAGGGGTGTTCAGTGATGGTAATGCCATTGAATGAATGATAAAAATCTAGAAAGCCTCCACTTTGTCATGTATTTTACTTCTGCTTGGGCAACAAATGGGGCTTAATACTTTGTAAGCAAGTGGAGAAAAAGTACCCAAAATTCTTGCTTTTGATTGCTGTTAGTGATTCAGACTAAGTGCAGTAATTTGAATGTTGGATGAGGGAAAAGGATGCTGTAGACTAGATTGCTAACATTCACTATTTGACTTCACCGTGAAGCATAATGTATATCTAGAAAGCAAAGAAAGAAAAGCATGCATTTACATATCACTTTATGATCATTGGAAACTCGAAGTACCTCAACCACAGGCATAATTTTTTAACTGTTTTACTGCTCACGCTGTTGCAGGAAATGCAGCAGTCAACTTGGACTTGGCAAACTCCCAGACACAGCCATATGATGACGATCAGATAATCTTGTTGATTGAGGAATAAAAATACCTGCATTGATGATTCCCATCTTCAAAATAAGATCTTATATCTGCTCAAGCAGGCAAACTGTGACCAGTTAGTCTCCTCTGAAGTAGAGCACTGTTAACAGCACAATCTATCCTCAGTATTACACGAGTGTCAGCCTTGGCCTTTAATGCTCCAACCCTTACAAGGTTCAAGATCTACGCGATTCCAAAGTGAAAGTGCTCTCACAACTGACCAGAACTGTTGATGGGGCCACATCTTAGCGTACTGAAGCTTCAGGGCATGGAAACTGCAAAAATACCAATTGTAGGGAATGCAAAGCTATAGTTAACCTGAATATTCTCCTCCTCAGGACTACTATATTTGCTAACGGCTCTCTACTACTTACCAATGTGAAATCTCGCAGCTTTGGTGTGTATAAATGTATTGGTCGGGGTCCAAGAGGGAAGCCCGTTGTGCTGGAAGCTGCACTGCGAATGGCAGGTAAGAATGAAATATACTGTAAATATTTAAATTTTAACCACTTTGTTCAAGTTGGACTGTGAAGACGGTGGTACAGATAAAATAATACTCAAAAGAACCAACTGCTCACTTTCTTGTTCATCCTTGCTACTCCTCTGTCTATAGTAATTTGTTGGAGGAAGGGTCTTCTGGACATAACTGAATAGAAGTTAACTGCATCTTTTGGGGAAGTTTCAATCAACTATTTAAATAGAGGAGGATTAAGAACAATACAGTATTAGTGTTTGACTGCTGTAGTGAGGAACCAAGTGAGTGTCAATGGGTCACGTGACCAGTTTCTGCTGCTTTAAAACTTATCGCAATTTAACTGTTGCATAAAAGGACATATGCTCCTCTTTTTAGTCAGGCTATGCAGTTGGTTCTGTTCAGGATCCTTATGAATCAAATACATGGAGCAGTGAAGAGGATTTGAAACATAGTAGTAATGGGATGCTCTTGTGTGGTGACATGTAAAATGTTAAACAGAAAAGGCAAGGCAATCGTGCAGTGTAGGAATACAAGTAATAATGGCCAGCATGTGACAGAGTAAGGGATAAGTTATACCAACGAATGCACCGACAAGTAAGGTCAGAGTAGGGGAAAATGGTGTAAAGGCCGAATGAAAGGATCTTTGTGAATAGTGTCAAATTGAAAGAAAAGGTGTCCAATACCGTGAAGATTCATAGTAGGTCAGAAATTTGGAAAATTTTGGAATGTCGCAAAGGATGCTTAAAAATCTAATAAAGATGAGGAACTTGGAATATGGGTGTAAACTAAAAAGAAATGTGAAAACAGGCAGCTCAAGTTCCCATAAGAATAACTAAAGGAAGCATCGGATGTGCCTGGGAATGGTAGAGACTTTGAACAAGTATTGTGTACCTGTGTTCTTGATTGAAGACGGGGGACAAAAAAGACTAGGACCCATGTTCCCTCTAATTAATTTTGTTAGTGTGCAGACCTCTGAGATCAGTACTGGGACCCTTATTATTTATTATACACAAAAGAAAATGGTGGGGAAAATGTTAAGTAAATTCATAGATGACACCAAGAGTGGAAGAGTGATTAATAGCGAAGAAGATGGTTATAGGTTACAGGAAGATATAGATGGGTTGGCCAGATGGGAAGATAGTGACAGATGATATTTAACTGTGATAAATGTGAGGTGACGCACTTTGGAAGAAGAAACAAGATGAGGGAGTATTTAATAAATGGCAGGACACTGGATAGCTTAGTGGAACAGAGGGATCTTGGGGTAATTATTCACATATCCCTGAAGTCGGCAGAGCATGTGTATAGGATAGTTAAGAAGGCATATGGGACACTTGCTGTCATCATTCATGGCACAGGGTATAAGAACAAGTTGTACACATGGTTGGTCAGCCACAACTGGAGTACTATGTGCAGTACTTTGATGAAGAGATCCAGCATCACCTCCAGCGTGCTAGCACAGCCTTTAGCCGCCTGAGGAAAAGGATGTTTGAGAGCAACAACATCAGATCCAACACCAAAATCGTGGTTTATAGAGCTGTGATGATTCCCACCCTCCTATATGGCTCTGAGACATGGACTGTCTACAGCAGACACTTCAAGGTACTGGAGCAGTACCACCAACGCTGCCTGCGCAAGATCCTGTGAATCCGCTGGGAAGAAAAATGCAACAACGCCAGTATTCTCAATCAGGCCAACATCCCAAGCATCGAGGCACTGACCACCCTTGATTAGCTACGATGGGCTGGGCATGATGGACAGCATGACTGACACGAGACTCCACAATAAGGTGCTGTACTCCCAGCTTCGAAATGGCAGGTGGGCTCCACGTGGACAGAGGAAGCACTTCAGTGCTTCTCAAGGCGTCACTGGCGAAGTTCTGCATTCCCACAGACACCTGGGAATCACTGGCCCAAGATCATCCAAAGTGGAGAAGGATCGTCTGAGAAGTAGTCGAACACTTTGAAACTTGCCGTCGGTGAGAAATGAAAGCCAGGCGAAAACAGTGAAAGGAACGTGCTGCCACACCAATGCCCCACCCACCCCTTCCCGTGACCACCACCTGCCCCAAGTGAAACAGAGCCTGCGGGAGCTGTATCAGTCTGTACAGCCACCTGTGGGCTCACCCTGGGAGAGTAAGACAGCCGTCCTCAGCCGTCCTCATCTACGAGGGACTGCTGATGATGACTGTGCAGCATGGTCACATCACTACAGGAAGGATGTGATAGCACTGGGGGGGTTACAGAGGAGGTTCACCAGGATGTTGCCTGGGATGGAGAAATTAAGCTGTAAGGAGAGACTAGATAGGCTTAGATTGTTTTCTTTAGAGCAGAGAAGACTGAGGGTTGACACAATTGAGGTATGTAAGATTGAGGGGTATGGACAGGGTGAATAGAGAGCAGCTGTTCTGCTTGGTTGACGGGTTGGTCACAGGAAAGGATAGTTTTAGGGTAAAGGGCAGGAGATTCAGAGGGGGTTTTGGGGAACTTTTCACTCAGGTGGTGAGAATCTGGAATGCACTGCCTGGTGGAGGCTGGAAACCTTTTACAACCTTTAAAAAATATTTGGATGAGCACTTCAAATATCATTACATTCAAGGATATGGGACAGGGTGCTGGAAATTGGGATGAGTGCGTCATTGATGGTAGTTATTTCTGTGCAGACTTGAAGGGCCTTTTCTGCACTGTATGAATCTATTATCACTGGTACCAACATGATCTTTGACCTTCAGAATTTTCTGCAGCCACTGAGTAACATCTGTGACCCTGGCACCCGTACCACTTGCGTGTACCTCTTCCTCTCCTCCAGCTTCTGGTGGTTTTTCCTTGCCTATGTTTGCATTTCGCTCACAGGATTGATGTTAAGCTACAGACAGACAAATCGGGGGTTTGTCACTATGCTGAGCTCCGTTGAATTCACAAGAGTATCAGTTTTACAAACTCACTATCCCTAAAAAGTAACATTGTCTAATAGTCATCAGTTAGCTTTACTTGTTTGTACATTGCAACCAACTTCTTTTACATTCTCCCCTTCTAAAATCTGTCCATTTTCCTCATTTTCAGTCCACAATTCAAAAATCAAAAGATGTGGTCTCTGACAGTTTTGAGGTTTTTTGGGTGTTGTTTAGCTGTTGCTATACAGTCAGTTGTAAGGAATCCAATCTTGTGCCTTCCAACTGATGAAAAGACTGTGGTTGGATGAAGATCAGTTGAGCCACTTGCCACAGTATCTTGCCTCTGATGTTGTTGAGGAGCCGTGTTTTGTTTCTGTTGCTGAAATAGATATACAGTAGAATCACAGAATGCCTGAGAAGTGGAAGTCAGCCATTTGGCCCATTGAATCCACACTGACCCACCCCTCTATCCTATCCCTGTAACCTTACATTTCCCATGGCTAATTCATCTAGCCTGCACATCCCTGGACACATTGGGCAATTTAGCATGGCCAATCCACCAGATCTACACATCTTTGGAGGAAACCAGAGCACCCAGCAGAAACCCACACAGACATGGGGAGAATCTGCAAACTCCACATTGTCGCCCAAGTTTGGAATCCAGCCTGTGTCCCTGGTGCTGTGAAAGAGCAGTGCCAGCCACGGTGCCACCCATATGTTTTTGACTCAGGTTTTTGGAGATTTGCGTTGAATATTGTGGGGAGGTAATGAGACTTTGGAGATGGTCATGACCTGCAGGTGGGACAAGGACACAGCCCTTCTAGCTCAGAGGAAGGGACGCTACCACTGCACCACAAGTGCACACCAACTTAGATTTTCCACTGATACAGGAGTGTGTTTGTGTAGTCAGCAACCCAGGGTTCTGAGATTAGACATTTTCAAATCAGCCTGTTCAGCGATGTTAGCTCACACCTTGGCCTTCCAGTTCAGAGGTAGGGATGCTACCACTGCACCATAAGAGCCTCAGCCATGAATACTATAATCTGCTGGACACTCTCATTTTTGTTTTCTGATGCAATGTTTCTCCCACAGCTGTGATCCATCCTGTTTTATTCTTTATTCGCCTCCTAGAGAATTGTTACAACTGTGTGGTCTAGGATGTCATTTGAGAGGGAAGTTTATTTTATTCTATTGTGTGATCTGGATCTCTCAGGCTGGGACAACTTTTATTGCCCAACACCAGTTGCCCGTGGTGGTGAGCTGCTTTCTTGAACCACTGTAATCCATGTGTTATAGGTAGATCCACAATGCTGTTAGGGAGGGAATTCCAGGATTTTGATTCAGTGACATTGAAGCACAGCAATATATTTCCAAGTCAGGATGGTGAGTAACTTGGAAGGGCACTTGCAGGTGGTGGTATTCTCATGTGTCTGCTGCCCTGTCCTTCTGGATGGAAGTGGTCATGAGTTTGGAAGGTGCTGTCTAAGGATATTTGTTGAATATCTACAGTGCATCTTGTAGATAGTACACACTGCTGCTATTGAGTGTCAGTGATGGAGGGAGTGAAAGTTTGTGGACATGGTGCCAATCAAGTGCGCTGCATGTTCTGGATGATGTCAGTCTTCCAAAGTGTTGATGAAGCTACACTCATCCAGGCAAGTGGGAAGTATTTCATCACACTTCTGACGTATGATGGAGTGAAATTAATTGATGAAGCAGCTGAAGATGGTTGGGCCTAGGACATTACCCTGAGCAACTCTCCCTGATTCCCATTGATTCCAGTTTTGTTCGTGTTCCTTGCTGCTGCGCTTGGTCAAATATGGATTTGTCACTCGCCTCGTCTCTGGAATTTCACTGTTTTTGTCCATGTTTCAACCAAGGTTGTAATGAGGTCAAGAGCTGAATGGCCCTGGCAGAACTCCAACTGGGCGTCAGTGAGCTCTATGTTGTTAAGCATCTGCTGCTTGGAATATGTCATCAACAGTGCTATCATCACTTTACTGATGATTGAGAGTAGTCTTATCCAGCATTAATTGGCTGTGTTGGATTTGTCTTGCTTTTTTATGTATAGGATGAACCAGGGCAATTTTGCACATTGTCAGGTAGATGTCAGCTGTGCCAGAACAGCTTGGCTAGAGGTGTGGCAAGTTCTGGATCACAAGTCTTCATAGTTATTGCAGGATTGTTGTCAGTGCTCATTGCTTTGGCAGTATCCAGTGCCTCCGACTGTTTCTTGACATATGTGGAGTGAATCGAATTTGCTGTAAGACTAGCATCTGTAATGCTGGAGTCTGGAGAAAGCCAAGATGAATGACCAACTCAGCATTTCTGACTGAAGATTGTTGCAAGTGATTCAACCTTCCCTTTTCCACTGACATGCTGGGCTCTTGCATTATTGAGAATGGAAATATTTGTTGGGCTGCCTCCTCCAGTGAGTTATTTAATTGTCCACCACTATTCACGACTGGATGTGGCAGAACTGCAGAGCTTAGATCTGACAAATTGGTTGTGGAATTGTTTAGCTCTGTCTGTCACTTGCTTCTTATGCTGTTTGACATGCAAGTAGTCCTGTTTCGTAGCTTCACTAGGTCAACACATTGTTTTTAGTTTGACTGGTGCTGCTCTTGGCATGCCCTCCTGCACTGTTCATTGACCCATGATTGATCCCCGGGCTTGATGGTAACAGTAGAGTGAAGATATGCCGAGCTATGAGTTTGCAAATTGTGTTGCAGTGTGATTCTGTTGCTGTTGAAATGCCACAGTGCCTGTCAATGCCTAGTCTTGAGTTATAGAGTCATAATCTCAAAGCATGGAAACAGACTTTTCAGTCCAATGAATCCATGCTGACCATAATCCCAAACTAAACTAGTCCCACCTCCGCTTGGCTCGTATCCCTCCAAACATTTCTTATTCATGCACATATCTAAATTCCTTTTAAACATTGTAACTGTGTCTGCATCCACAGCTTCCTCTGGAAGTTCATTCCACACATGAACCACTCTGTTTAAAAAAAAAAAGTTACCCCCTCATGTCATTTTAAAATCTTTCTCCTCTCACCTTTACAGATATGCCCCCTGGTCTTGAAATCTCCGACCCTAGGAAAAAGTCACCTACCATTCACCTTATCTATACACCTCATGATTTTATAGACGTCACCCCTCGACCTCTTGTGCTCCAGTGAAAAAGTCTCAGCCTATCCAGTCTCTCCTTATAACTCAGACCCTTCATTCCAGGCGACATCCTGGTAAATCTTTTCTGAACACTCTCCAGCTTGATAATATTCTTCCTATAACAGGGCAACTAGAACTAAACACAGTACTCTAAACGAGGCCTCACTAATGTCCTGTATAACCTCAATATAACAACCCAACTCCTATGCTGAAAAGTCTGAGCAATGAAGGCAAACGTGCTAAATGCCTTTTTAACCACCCTGTCTACATTTGATGCAAACTTCAAAGAATTAGTTACCTGAATAACAGGTAACCTGTATAACCTCTATAACAGGTGTCTCTGTTCTACAACACTACCCACGGCCCTACTTTTAATTGTAAAAGTCCTGCCCATGTTTGTTTCACCTAAATGCAATACCTTGCATTTATCCAAATTAAATCTGACCCACTTAGCACAGTGATCACGCTTCACAACACAATGTAAGGTATTCTCAATGTGAAGACTGAATTTTTTTCTCCACAAGGACTGTGTGTTGGTTACTCTTATTGATGTTGTCATGGATGGATGCATCTGCAGCAGGCAGATTGGTAGGATGAGTTCAAGTATGTTTTTGCCCTCCTTGTTTGTTCCCTCTTCACCTGTTGCATACTGAGTCTGGCAGCTTTCAAACCTTTCCAGCTCGATCAGAAGTGTTGCTCTCTTGGTGGTGCATGTTGAAATCCCCCAGCTACATTCTGTGCCCTTGCAAACTCTCTGCTTCCCCCAAGTGTTGCTCATAGTTGAGGGATCTCAGTTCGTGGTAATCAGCAGGAGTTTTTCTTGTCCACGAGACTGTAATGCTGAGAACTCTCAGGGCAGCTCCATCCCAACTGTATACTACTGTGTCACTACCTGTGCTAGGTTTGTCTTGCTGGTGGGGCAGGATATATTCGAGGATGGTGACAGTAGTGTCTGAAATGTTGATAGGCTCAACAGGGCTGTTTTTGCCGGTACCTAAGTCAATGCAGGTGGTTGTCTGGTTTCATTTCCTTTGTTTAAATTTGCAGCAATTTGATCCAACTGAGTGGCGTCCTAGGCAATCACATTGCTATGTCTCTGAAGTCACATGTAGGTTGCACAAGGTGAGGATGGACGATTTCCTTCTCTGACAGACATTAGTGAACCAGATGGGTTTTTCAAACAATCAGCTTCACAGTCATCAGTAAATTCTTAATCGCAGATATTTTTATTGCTGTGGTGGATTTCAAACCCAGATCACCAGAACATTTAGCTGAGTTTCTGGATTAATCGTCTAGCGATAATGCCACCAGGCCATTGCTTACCCATTCAGCTGAGGATGTTTCATGTTGGTATGGCACTGGAATTATTAGGACAGGTGTTCTCAAAAGGACATTAGTGAACCATTTGCAATAGTACTCCATGTTTATATTGTACAGCTGAGAGAAATTGAAATAATTTGTGGTACTGGTTATTTGTAGAATTAGTAAAGGAAGCAGGCCATTTATTAAGGAATCTTGGATACTAATCTTGTTTTCTTGTCTTAATCCAGTACATTTTACAAAGCAAGGGGAACCTTCAAGGTAAAACCAACTGGAATTACTTGAGTCTTACTATTTATACAGATGCCGAAAAAATCCATGTTTAGCTTCCTTCGGACTTGTAGAATGCATGTTTATCTGCAAGTTTTTGTTGTTGTCTTTGTTTGAAAGTGATTTTTGTATTAACGTGGGAGTCTTTCTTTACTCAGAATGAAAAAGAAACGTAATTCTTAAAACACCAATTTTAGAAGCTCCTTCATCCAAATGAAACTCATTACAATTAATGAAAAGAGCAAAGGGTTGTTTTGAACAAATAGAAATAGAGCTGGAAATATTGGTGCTGTAATTTATTCGCTATAAAAAGCAAATGGATGTTGAGTTACTGAAAGATTTTTGAGGTATCAACAGTCTTGTTTTGAAAAGTAGGTTTCTATGACTATTAACATGAAGCCAACCATAAGGATGCAGGGAAAGCTAGACTTAAAAAGTGCCTAGAATTTATTGAGCTGCTTCTGAAACCATCTTTCTTTTAATTTAGAAATCGACAATATCCAGATGTTCAGTCCAAAGATTTTCATTGAAAATACTACTCAGCATGTTAAATGTGCACCACCCAGAGGGCTGCCCCCTCCAGTTGTGACATGGTATAGGGATGGTACACAAGTTCCAACTGAAGGGCGTGTCTACCAAGCAGGAAATGAGCTGATCTTCAATGACACAGCAGAAGAGGATTCTGGAATTTATATCTGCCGTGCTAGAAATAAAGCTGGAGAGAAGACCAGGGAGCTGAGTGTCACTGTGGCAAGTAAGGAACAATTTGATTTGTATGTACATTTCATATCCTGAAGAAAGCATTGACAGCCAAGAAATTAATTTCATAAACAGCAGTATCTGTGGGGAGAAAGCAGGGTTAATGTTTTGAGTCTGGTGACTCTTCATCAGAGCACTTCATCAATTAGTTTGATTTGTAGTCATTGTTGCAATGCAAAGATGCAGCCAATTTGTGTACACTATGTTCCATTAACTTGAATTTGTTAAAAAGTTATATTGTTTCATGAGACTTTGGTTGGAAGGTCGCTACTGGCCAGAGGTCTGTAGAAACTGTGTTTTCATGTGTATATGTTCTACACAAATTCTTATTGTAGGCTCATCATGGTAGTTGGGTACTGGCATGTTCATTGGCACCCCTTTTAGCTGGTTAAAAATGCAGCTAGCATTCAGTCCACTCCTCAGTCAGTTCAGCTGGTGTTGAGAACAGATTGTGGGAATCATAGATGTGATCGTATGTTGTAGTGCAGCTCACTCTTCAACCCTTCTCTACAGATTGTGACCTCTGTTTACTATTCCATCTAAAATTCAATCAAGAATTGATGCAACTCACCATTTAGGATTTTTGGGAAAAAAAACTAGTATTGTGTACTTAAAAAAGGACTACCTAACAATCTTATTATAAAAGAATCTTAAGAGATGAGTGATCATAATAGGATAGAATTTTGCATTGTTTGCAAGTGAAAGAGTTGCAGAATTTATGAAGGCATGAGGCTCAAATTAGCCATGGTAGATTAGGAAAATATGGTAAAAGCCATGACCGTACGTAGGCAATAGATAGTCTTTATAGAGATATTACATGGTTTGCAGCAACTATGCATTCTCCCAAGGTGCAAAATCTCAAAGCCCATGGCTAACAAAGTAAGTTTAGGATTGTATGACGAGAAGAAAAGGCCTATAAAGTTAGCAGATTTTATAATACGTAACAAAGCGGAACCAAGAAACTCATAAGGTAAGGGACGGTAGAATGTGAATGCAATCCAGCAAGAAACAGTAAAACAGACTGTAAAACCTTCTATAGTAACATAAAAAGATGTTTAGCTAAAACAAATGTGTGTCCATCACAGGCAAAGTCTTGTGATTTTATAGTAGGAAATAAAGAAATGGCAAAGAAGTCTTTATTTCTGTTTTTGTTTTGCTGAGGAAGACATAAGAAATCTCCTAGAACTAGATGTATCGAAGTGGCTAGGGAAGATAAGGAATTGAAGGACATCAGCTAAAGAACTATGGGTGGCATGGTGGCTCAGCAGTTGGCACTGCTGCCTCACACTACCACGGACCCAGGTTTGATTCCACCCTTGGGTGACTGTCTGTGTGGAGTTTGCACGTTCTCCCTGTGTCTGTGAAAGTTATCTCTGGGGGTGCTTCAGTTAATGTCCAGGGTTGGGTAGGCTAGGTTGTTTGATCATGGGAAATGCAGCGTTACAGGGATAGGGTAGGGGATGGGTCTGGGTAGGATGCTCTTCAGAGGGGTTGGTGTGGGTTTGATGGGCCGAATGGCCTGCTTCCACACTGTAAGAATTCTATGATTAATTTCTTTAGCACAATATTCTTGTTGATGCTAATGAGGCTGAGACTTAACTGATCTGCAAAACCCGATGGTCAACATCCCACAATTTTGAAGGAGATAGTGAAAGAGTTAGTTGATGCATTGCTGATTAACCTCCCAAATTGTATAAATTGTGGAATAGGTTCAAACGTAGTTTATGTCACCCCATTATTTAAGATGGGAGCAAGAGAGAAAGCTAGGAACTTCAGACCTCTTAGCCTTGTATCAACAGTCAGGAAAATGCTAGAATCTATTTTCAATGATGTGAGAAACAGATACCTGAAGATGATCTGATTGGGCATAGTCAGCATAGATTTGTGAATGGGAAGCCATGTTTGATGAGATAACCAGGTGTAGAACTGGATGAACACAGCAGGCCAAGCAGCACCAGAGGAGCAGGAAAGCTGACGTTTCGGGTCTAGACCCTTCTTCAGAAATGGGGGAGGGGAAGGGGATTCTGAAATAAATGGGGAGAGAGGGGGAGGCGGATAGAAGATGGTTAAATGAGAAGATAGGTGGAGAGGAGACAGCCAGGTCAAAGAGGCGGGGTTGGAGCCAGTAAAGGTGAGTGTAGGTGGGGAGTTAGGGAGGGGATAGGTCAGTCCAGGGAGGACGGACTGGTCAAGGGGGCGGGATGAGGCTGGTAGGTAGGAGATGGGGGTGAGGCTTGAGTTGGGAGGAGGGGATAGATGGGAGGAAGGACAGGTTAGGGAGGCAGGGACAAGCTGGGCTGGTTTTAGGATGTGGTCGGGGGAGGGGAGATTTTGAAGCTTGTGAAGTCCATATTGATACCATTGGGCTGCAGGATTCCCAAGCGGAATATGAGGTGCTGTTCCTGCAACCTTCGGGTGGCATCGTTGTGGCACTGCAGGAGGCCCAGGATGGACATGTCGCCTGAGGAGTGGGAGTGGGAGGGGGAGTTGAAATGGTTCGCAACTGGGAGGTGCAGTTGTTTGTTGCGAACCGAGCGCAGGTGTTCCACAAAGCAGTCCCCAAGCCTACGCTTGGTTTCCCCGATGTAGAGGAGGCCACATCGGGAACAGCGGATACAGCATACCACGTTAGCAGATGTGCAGATGAACATCTGTTTGACGTGGAAGGTCTTCTTGGGGCCTGGGATGGGGGTGAGGGGGGAGGTGTAGGGGCAGGTGTAGCGCTCCCTGAGGTTTCAGGGAAAAGTGCCGGGTGTGGTGGGGCTGGTGGGGCCTGTGGAGCGGACGAGGGAGTCATGGTGAGAGGGGTGGGGAGGGAATAATGTCTTTGGTAGTGGGGTCAGATTGCAGATGGCGGAAGTGCCGGTGGATGATGCATTGGATCCGGAGGTTGGTGGGGTGGTACGTGAGGATGAGGGGGATTCTGTTTTGGTTGTTATTGCGGGGAGGGGGTGTGAGGGATGAGATGCGGGAGATGCGGTCGTGGGGGTTTTCGACCACTGTCGGGGGGTATGTTGTGGTCCTTGAAAAGTGAGGACATCTGGGATGTCCGGAAGCGGAATGCCTCATCCCGGGAGCAGATGCGGCAGAGGCGAAGGATTTGGGAATAGGGGATGGCATTTTTGCAGGAAGGTATTTGGGAGGAGGTGTATTCTAGGTTCTAAGTATTCCAAGTTCATCCACTTCACCAACACCTTCCACCCCAACCTTAAGTTCACCTGGACCATCTCTGATACCCCTCTCTCCTTCCTGGGCCTCTGTTTCCATCTCTGGCAACTACCTGGAAACCGATATCCATTTCAAGCCTACCGACTCCCAGAGCTACCTAGAATACACCACCTCCCACCCGCCTTCCTGCAAAAATGCCATCCCTGATTCCCAATTCCTTCGCCTCCGCCGCATCTGCTCCCGGGATGAGGCATTCCACTCCCGGACATCCCAGATGTCCGCAAGGACCGCAACTTACCCTCCTCAGTGGTCAAAAACACCCTCGACCGCGTCTCCACGTTTCCCGCAACTCATCCCTCACACCCCCTTCCCGCAATAACAACCAGAACAGGATCCCCCTTGTCCTCGTGTACCACCCCACCAACCTCCGAATCCAACGCATCATCCTCTGGCACTTCCGCCATCTGCAATCTGACCCCACTACCAAAGATATTTTTCCCTCCCCACCCTTCTCTGGTTTCCAGAGGGATCACTCTCTCCGTGACTCCCTCATCTGCTTCACAGTCCCCACAAGTCCCACCACACCCGGCACTTTTCTCTGCAACCGCAGGAAGTGCTATATCTGCCCTTACACCTCACCCCCATTCCAGGCCCTAAGAAGACCTTCCACGTCAAGCAGATGTTCACTTGCACATCTGCTAATGTGGTGTACTGTATCCACTGCTCCCGATGTGGCGGAGGCTTGGGGACTGCTTTGTGGAACACCTACGCTCGGTTTGCAACAAACAACTGCACCTCCCAGTCGCGAACCATTTCAACTCCCCCTCCCATTCCTCAGACGACATGTCCATCCTGGGCCTCCTGCAGTGCCACAACGATGCCACCCGAAGGTTGCAGGAACAGCACCTCATATTTCGCTTGGGAACCCTGCAGCCCAATGGTATCAATATGGACTTCACAAGCTTCAAAATCTCCCCTCCCAAAACCAGCCCAGCTTGTCCCTGCCTCCCTAACCTGTCCTTCCTCCCACCTATCCCCTCCTCCCAACTCAAGCCTCACCCCCATCTCCTACCTACCAGCCTCATCCTGCCCCCTTGACCAGTCCGTCTTCCCTGGACTGACCTATCTCCTCCCTAACTCCCCACCTACACTCACCTTTACTGGCTCCAACCCCGCCTCTTTGACCTGGCTGTCTCCTCTCCACCTATCTTCTCATTAATCCATCTTCTATCCACCTCCCCCTCTCTCCCTATTTATTTCAGAATCCCCTTCCCTTCTCCCATTTCTGAAGAAGGGTCTAGGCCCGAAACGTCAGCTTTCCTGCTCCTCTGGTGCTGCTTGGCCTGCTGTGTTCATCTAGCTCTGCACCTTGTTATCTCAGATTCTGTAGCATCTGTTGTTCCTCCTATCTCTGAAACCATGTTTGATGAACTTGTTTTAACATTTTGACGATGTTACTAACACAATTTGTTTACGGAGAACAAATAGACATTGTAGCCTTAGGTTTTCAGACCACTTTTGATAAAGTCTCCCAGAGGAGTCTGGTTAGAAAAATGAAAGAATGTGAGAGAGGAGGTAATGGATTGGCATGGATTAAGATTGGCTAACAGACAGAAAACCACGTGTAGGATTAAATGGATCATCCTTATGTTGGCAGAGTGAGACTCTGGGGTACCGCAAGTATCAGTACTTGAATCCCAGCTGTTCACAATAACTATCAATGATTTGGAGTTGGGGACCAAAAGTAATATTTCCAAACTTGTGGATGGTACTAAACTAAGTGGGAATGTATGTTATGAGGAAGATTTGTATACGTTTAATGAATGG